CAGCATTTTGACAAAACTATGGGCGGGAACCTACTTCAGTTAAGATCTTCATCTTTTCTTGGGGCTTCTGTCGTGATTTTTCCACTAGGGAGATCTTTGGGAAACAGTTAATGCCTTTGTATAGCATTGTAAGGGAACAATGCAGAGCTAGAGTTAGAAAAAAAAAAAAAGGATGAAGCAGCAACAAGCTTATCACTATATTACCAGCAAGAAAGGGCAGAAAAAGATGGACAGCCATCTTCAAAGAAAAAATAATCACCTCAACGGGAATGTAAGTAGGCCACTTTGGTCTGCCAACATTGATACAGGGCAGTCTCCAGAATACGTAAATTTATATGCCATGATGATTAACAAAAATCAAAAAAACCGTTATATCAACACCTTCATTATCACCATTTACTTTTGATTTCAGTGAGAACCTACAAAAAGAAAAGGCTGTCTTAATCAATCTATACGAAAACAATTGAGAACTTGAAGGAAAAGCAATATTATCAGCATTGAAGCACAACTCATAAAAGAGTGTTATGATTTACATCTGGTCTTTGCAATTATTTCACTCAGTCCCAGTGATTCTATATTCTTAATTGTTGGGCCCAACTGTTTCCTCAAATTTCTGATCAAAAGTTTAACCTGTCAATGAAATATGCACCAAGCTTTATGATAGTTAAAATGACTTACCATCACAACGTGAAAGGTTGAGCACAAAATTATGTACCTTGGCCCAGTCCATACTGATATGATCTTTCACATTGGGTTGGCAATGAGAAAATCCATTAGAGGCCCGGGCTGACTACTGTTGTAGTTGTTCCTCTGTCATTCATCATAAGATAACAACAGAGAAGGATGGAGTAACCCTCAGTTTGGTTCTTGGAAAAGAAAGGACATATTCTAAGAAAAACTATTTTCATTATCACATTTATTCCTCTAGTACTTTCTCATAGGCAAAGAAACTCAAAAATTTTGAAATGTACACTTAAAGAAGAAAAATATACTTACCAACATTTAGCGATAATCCCCTTGCGTGGTTTGGAAACTTGTATGAAAGCCCCTGCACCAAGAATACCACCACCCAGCCTTGAAATTGTTAGTCATTAGAAAGAACTGGCGTACGAGAAGGCAGCCTCGTAAGAAGAGATGAAAGCGTAGTGAAGCAATGCGATAATAAATCAAGCTTAAAACAATTAATAGATAAACTTAAGCTAAGAGAGATTAATTGATAAACTAACACTCACTGTTTCTGCATGCTGTCTTAAGACGATGTCTAAGACCCTTAGCACCTCTTGGAATTTTCTGACTCTTGCCCACGTAAAGCAGCTGCATTGCTGTCAGGGATTTGGCAGCAAAGCTGATCTCTACTTAAATGTTTTGGACTGTGATACTCACCTTCTCTTTCCTATCACTATCATTAGGACTCCCATTGCAACCAGGACATATCATTTCTAGTAGTTCTGGAAAAAATATCTCACCCAGTTATTATCCAACGCCATCTTATGGGCAGCTCATGAAAAGTAAATTCTTGCTTATAAAGCAAAACAGAGAATTTTGCTGTATGATTAGTAAATTCACACAACTTACCTATTCAATGAGAGATTGTCAAGTAAAACAGAGAATGCCATTTTGTTGTTTGGGAGGGAACCAAATGTAAATAAACTCTTTTCTCCATCATAAGCAAAGTATTTCCCAGCAAGATCTTTGTTATAAGTCTCCTGAACTTTATCAATTACCCTTCTTCCAATTCCCTTTGTTTCAAAAGGATGACCATCCCCATAAAATAAGGCAACGTATATCAATGAAGAAAAAAAAAATTCAGCATCCCAAAATCTCAAAAGGGCATTCGAAACACAGATTAGCTTACACTGTACTCATAAAAGTGGCCACTAGCACCAGCAATATTGGCTTTGAAATGATTACAAAGAAGAGGTAATCTTTGTCCTTTAGTACCAGCACCACGCCTAGTCATAGGGACACGTTTAGGCTTCAAAATCTTTTTATTCTCCTCAGGACCAGGTTCTGGTTTAAGTTCCTCACGTTCTATATTTAGAGGGATCTCAGGTGGAGGTGCAGGCGGAGGTGCAGGTGGAGGTGCAGGCAGAGCCTTTGGATCTATAGGAGAATCCATTATAATCTGAACAGCAGAAAAGAAGAAAATAAATTAGAACAGAAAGATACATTAGTCTGTTTGATGTAAGATATTACTACTAATATACTGATGGACATCAAAAAGCCACTAGCCATAAAATCAATGATTAAAGAAATGAATTCACACTTGAAATCAGTAAAAAGATCACTAAGATTGTTACACAACAAAAAGGTCAAGAAAAAAGAAATCAAAGCTTCATAATGCCAATAAGAAAAACAAGTGCAAGGTAAGAGCACTCTGCAAGGTGAGCATATGAAGTAGTAATGGGAGCTGCAATAGTCCTGCAGTAAACTAGTGACACAGGTACAAGCACTAATAACAGGTACAATTTGGAGCATGATTTCTTCTGGAATATTAATGCATGGGTGGATTAACACAGGCATATATATTGTATTTATAAATACAAACACCCAAAAAATTGAAACAATGATGTAACAAAGGTTATTCCCAAGATGTTCCATGTATAGAACCAGATGATCCACAGAAAGCTTCAGCATTTTAACGTTAATGACAGCAAGTAATACAAACAATGGAGTAGCACCTTTTAAGTAAAACATACAACACAAGAGAACCAAGCACCAGTAAAATAGATGAACATGAACAGGTACATCTAGGCCAGAATATACATTGATATTTCTATAAACAGTGCAGTTCCATTCAAAATCTTTTCTATAACACTTATAACTGAGCAATGGACCCATGATACAGACAGAGATAACTTCCTGGAATAATTAGTAAAGCATTGTCTGCATTATAATTGGTAGTTCATAGACAATGGATGTATGTTTTACTGTTATTCCTTAATTTTCTAGCGGAGAAATTATAGTTGTTCTCAAAATTCCCAAAATTTAGGGTGTTTCTAAAATTTAAAAGTGTGTCACACAAACCATTTGTGTATCTAAAACTTAGAAGAGTGTCACCTCAGGTTATCAAAATTACTTCAGGTTGTGAAGAATACTTGAAAATGAATTCAATATAAACACAGCAATTAAACAGAAACTGACCTAGCATGTTTATAGATTAGGATTTGTAAAAAGAACATTCCAAAATTTTGGCCAACTCCATCAATTATCATGGGACCACCATCACAGATAAAAAATAATAAATCTATCATCACCAAAAACAACAATACAAATCTGGCCGAAGACATTTTGTCTTTATTGCAAGTAATTCAGAAAACAGACAAAGAACAAAAAGAAAGAGCAACAGAAAATGACAAAAGACGCTGATTTTCTGATTTCTAGAGAAGAGGTTTTGACAAGACCATGATTAGGCCAAGAGGAAAGGCCAAAAAAGTAATAGAGCACCTGGGTTTGTTTTAAGTGACAAATAAGAAATAGAGTAATGCGAGGAAGAAATCTTAAAAAGATCTTCGTGACAAATAAGAAATAGAGTAATGCTAGAAAAGAAAATCTTAAAAATATCTGCATACAAAGCCAGTGATGTAGCAAAAAATGAAATAAACTCTTTCATTCATTTGTTACCACTTCACCTTGTAAGAGTTCTTGTAAGATTATAGTATTACTGTAAGAAATAACACACCCACGGTGATGCCTTTTTCTATTTTTGGTAGGTTTTGAGCAGAGATTTTTTAAAAAGAAACAAAATTTCTTAAAACGGTTGTAACTTGTAATATGAACATAGAGAAAGTAAAAAAGGAAAGCCGCCATTTCAGAAAAATGTAAAAGCATATTAGTAATCTAATGTACAGTCTATACAGAATGCAAAAGACTCAGCCTTTCAGAACTGCGATGACCTCATGAAACCCAAAAAAAAAAAAAAAAAAAAACCTTTGAAAAATGCCAAAAAGAGCTTCTTCTAGTGCGGCAAAATTTGAACAACTAGAACAAAGAAGAACATATAAAAAGGCTAAAAAGCTTAAAACGCAAGTAAACGCAAAAGAAACAAAACCAGCTTTACCGAGAGAAATTTCAGAACTTTGTTCAACAAAATGAAACCTTTACAGAAGAAAAAAACAGTGAAGAGAAGAGAACAAAATGCAGGTTAAAAATTTTGCATATTACAAGCAAAAAAAGCATTCTTTTTTCTCAAGAAAGAGAGGTTTTACCAGCAGAGAGCTCAAGGGAGAGGAAACGAAGTGACTGAACAGTCTGAACTGAAGAGGCTGAAAAATGAAGGGGAGAGTTATAAACTTATAATGCCAGAGAGGAAAGGATAGGAGGGCGGATATAATTATAAAGTGACGCCGGTGGTGAGTCACAGCCGAGCTAGGTGTCTTTATGTTCATGCATTCTAACATCAAACGTTTATATGCCCGCCTTGTGCTCCCTACCAAATCCCATAGCCAAGGACATGCTTTGTGCAGAAAACTCCGTTCTGCCACGTTGCGACGTGAAATTAATCATCGGATGAAAATTGTTTGAGTGATGTTGCGAGTTGCGACGACAAAATCGAACAATGTTCTCTCACCGTCTTTTATTGGCAGTTTATAAATACAACAATGCTACATATTTTTACACTGAAATTTTGTATCAGTCTGCGTGTCTCCTAACTCAGACTATACAAAATATTTAACGTTATTAAATTTTTTTTAAAATATAAAAATTTTAAAAGAAATCTGGAATGGACGAGCATCTATTTCAAATGGACGGCCATCTATTGTGTAAGGACGGCCATCCATAAGGAATGGACGGCCGTCCTTTTTTTTTAGACGGGCGTCCCTACTCTAATTAAAAAGCTTCAAGCTTCAAGTCCTAACTTCTCATCTTTCATAACCTTCTGCAGCTCACCCGACGTTGTTTCAAAGCTCGTAACCAATGGCTTCTTCTATGCCTTCCTCTACTTCTTCTTTCTCTACAGTTTTTCACGCTTTCGCACAACCCAAAACCCAGGAAAAGTTATGGATTGCAAAGAGAACCCATGCTGGAAAAAGGCAGATTTAGATGACCCAAGTAAAGATTTGATTGAGGGAGTCAATGAAGAAGCCATGGAAGGCCATGAAGAAGAAGAAGTAGCATCAAAAAAGCACAACAGATTTGATGGAGGGAGTCAATGAAGAATCCCTGGAGGCCATGAAGAAGAAGAAGAAGTGTGTAAAAAAGCACCATGGTTGTGCGAAAGCGTGAAAGATATTTTTTTTTTTTTTTTATATTTTGGTTATAGCATTTTTGGCTTCTGACAGGAAAAGAAGCTCCACCTATTTCGATGTAGTTTTTTCAGTGGATATAACATTTTTTATAAATGACCAGTTAGAAATAAGTTTTACTGTTTATTATGGGTTCGGTTATCTAATTAAAAACTGTCGCATCAAAAATTATAAAAAAAAATTATAAAATTAAATTATGAATTTAGCATTATTGAATTGATTTAATTAAAAAATTTATGAATATCCTCTTGATAGTGATGTAACAAGACGTTTAATTAAGCCTCATTTTAATTGTTAATTATTAATGAACACTACAGTGCTTAACGTTATCTCTTCTTAGCTAAGCTTCAGGGGTGGCTCCTTGTAATTTTCTAATTATATGATAATTTAAATAAAAATTATATAAATTAGCCAACCCATATAATTATTGGAAATATTATATTGTAATTAATGGTTTCAAAATTTTGAAATTCATAGAGTTTTATTTTTATATTATCCGCAACAGAATCAGAAAATAATTTTTGGGAGGGTTAAAATTTTTTTAAATAAACATTAAAGTTATTCATCTTTGTTGAAACTAGAAAATATAATTAATAAAGAAAAAAAAGCTAAACAATTTTAGAAGAATTTATATTAGGGTCCACCAAACTACTTTGGGGTTTTTTTTTTCTTTTTTGTGTAGGTATTATTATTTATTACATCATTATTAAAAAAAATTCAATAATAAATTATAATACTTGATTTTTAATTGTCACTCATTATTATGGTATATTCAACTTCGAGATACAATAAAATACATTTAAGTCGAGATGATTTTGAAGTTGACACTTGACACTAGAATCCCTTGCAATTGATTGAAGGTTTTTTATCCTCGGCCCTTGAAGAGAAGAGGCAATACTAAACGCCACTACGGTTTTAGGAAAATATTGAAAAACCCTTTGAAAACGGAATTGTCCAATCTTCTAAATGATACAAAATTGTTATCTAAAAATTAAACGCCAACGTTTTAAGCATCTAATTTTATAAATCAACTAATGGATTAAAATTCATTCTATCATATAAATTTGATAGTTTTGAAAAGGGTGATTTTGTATTATTTCTAAAGTACATTGTCTATTCCATCAGACCATCTCCAATCACAAATATTAAATTAGTGTAATTGTAACATCATTTTACTATTACATCTTTGATCCATTACACTAAATATTACATCCAAAAAAATATTATTTAGAATATTGTCTTTATTTTTCTTTTTATAAATTCTCAATAATTAATTTATTTTACTAATTACTTTTGTATATATTAATTAAATATTATGAATAATATATTTTATTAATTAACTAATAATAATAACTTAGAATATTATACTAATTTAAGTAAATTAAGCATTTATTAAATTAAGTAAACGTTTACATTTAAATTTAATATACATTTAATTTATTTTCAATTATTGAAGTTTAATATTTGCGTTATAATGAAGTTTTGTTTTTAATTTTTCATCATTTTTTTAAACTATATAACTATTACAAATATTAATATAAATAATAATCAAATTAACACAAATACAAATTAAAAAATTAAATAACAAAAATAAAGATATAAATGTCATTATATTGAAAAGCGGAAAAATCATTTGGCATTTTGGTGTAGATGAATAGTATTACACCAATTTGGTGTGACTTTTAGAGTTGGATTGAAGCAACATTTAGATACCATTTTGGTGTTTTATACTAATTTGGTGTCCCATTGGAAATGCCCTTAGGTATATGGTTACTAAAAAAAAAAAAGGTTATAAATAGGTAGGACGATATTGAAATCATGATAACAATTCAATCATTCATTTAAGTTAAATTTCATAATCAGTCAAATAAACAATTTTATTTTAGATTTAGGCCATTGGATTTATTCTTTTATGTTAGTGTAGGGGTGAGCGGTTCTGGATACCCTGCATTTTTCAGGAGAATCGAAACTGAAACCGCACAGTGCAGGTTCCCAAAAAAAGGAATCGAAACATGAAATGCAATGTCCGATTCTTTACCCCGGTACCCTATAAAAAATTAATTACCCCCTATTGATTTAAAAAATGACAAAAATACCTTAAAATTTTATAAATACACCCCTAACAAATTAAGAAAACCTATATTTAGTAGTTTTCAACTTTTGATTACTCATTCATTTGTATCCAATGTGACTTATAAATCCTCTAATCTCTAGGCAACACTTGAGTTCAATCAATTTATCACAATTCACATAAAATTTCTCAATCAAAATCAAAACACAAACAGGTTCCAAGCCGACTACTCACTTCAAGTTCTTTTCCCAGGTTCTGGTTCCGAAACCTGTAGGAACTGGAACCAGACCGGCACAAAGTTGGTTCCAATAAAATAGAACTGGAACCTACTATTGGAACCTACTCGCACAGTGTCGGTTCTTGATAGGTTCTGGTTCCAGTTCTACTCGCTATCCATACTCACCCCTACATTAGTGTTTGAATTCCTTCAAAGAAGAAAACAATCTCTCTTTAATCCTCATATTTATCTTGTATTACTTCCATCCACCATACTTTCAATTTTTTTACATTAAGGTTCCACTGAGCTTTTTCATCATGATATTAGCACTACTAGCTTAGGTAAACTTATGTACTATAATTTATTACTTGTTTAGTATAATTATCTTTATGAGTATGTTCTGTGGTTGCCGATATTAAAATGGATCTTCAAGTATTAAAATATAAGGTTTAAGTTAAAATTTTCACTGTATCTTATTTGCAACTCCAAGTTTGTGAACTGAGGTAATATATGAACAAGTACCTCAATAATCATAGAAAAAGAATAGGAGCTGAAGTTGTGATTCAAAACATAAACCTAAATTATAAAATGTTAAGTGAATGATTCCTAAGTAGTTCTAATGAATTTAAAAAAAAAGAAAAAGAAAACTATCATGTCTTGATGAAACTCGCTCTAGAGAGAACTTGTAATGGCTGGAACTTGAACGCAAGTGATTGTCCAGCGGTTATGTATGACCATAGGGTTTGCATGAAGGTCTTAGGATATGTTCTATGGCACTCAGAAGTTTACGATTTCTTTCGCTTAACAGGATTGAAATTTTGTGGGATTAACGGAGCTTGTTTGTGGCGATTCTGGTGGTGAGTTGCGAATCCGATCAAACAAGAAACCCAAGCTCTCACATTAATAGCGACAATGTGTGGTTTGGTGTCTTGCATTTTTGGGTTGTTCTTGTGTGTCTTATCCCTCACTTCACGTGAATGATCTCTTCTATACTACTGAAATACGATAATGCATGTTAATGGATTAATGCAATCATAATACTAATAATAATCATCGAAGAATAAAACTATTTGATAAATCACAATATAAGAATTAATGCAAAACAAATTTTAGAATAAATAGGATATTAATCATAAAAGATAAGGCATTTTTATTATATAAAAATAATAAAATAAAATAACAAAATAATATAAACGCATAGTTATCTAGATAAATTAATTAATAAAATGAATTTTTAGATATTGATACTTAAATAATTATCTCACCTTAATAAAACATAAAATCAAATAGGTAATTATATATAAATAAAGGGTTTTTATGAGATAAATCATATTTAATAAAATAGAATTAAATAAAAAAGGGGATTTTCATCAAAATAAATTAATAAATCTTTTAAAATCATAAGATAAACATTGTATATTGGTTTTAACAAAATATTTAAATAAAAGAAGAAAATTACAATTACAATTTTACCCAAATAAAGGCTTTAAAAGGGCATTTTTAGCAACTATTAAGAAAATAAAAATAATGATAACGAATTTATACCTTTAAATCAGTAGGAAAAATATATTTTTTTTTTAAATAGTAAAAAGGTCCTTTGGAAATAATTAAAATAAAGATAGGACTTGAAAGGATAAAACAGTAAGTTTTTAACAGAGAAACATTTTTATAAAATATAATACAAATCCAAAAACCATGAAATTTAAAATTGGAGCTTTTTTATTTTTCTAGGATTTTAGAAAATAGAAAATTAGCAAAAACCACTTTGTATTGAAAAATCAGCAAGTTGTCAAAATAGAGGTACTTTTGTAATTTTAGGTTTTTAATGAATGTTAGGAGATCACGCAGCAAAAAACATACATTCGAGATGAATAACATAAAAATAAAATTACACCACACAAAGAGACACGATATTTACGTGGTTCAGCATAATCCACTTATATTCACGGATGAGAAAAATCCATTATAGTTTCATAAACACGATATACAAGAGTACATAACACCATAAACCCGGTACATAAAACAGAGCGGAAACAAACCTAGTTTCTAACCACGCTCAACCCAGTACCTAGAGTGGAAACGATCCCAATTTCTAAGACACTTTCCCCATGGTGTTTAATAACCCTTACATCAAATACCATGTGTTCTCACATTCTCTTATTCTCTCGTAACCTTGAATTGGTTCTTAACCCTATATTTATAGGTAGTATATAAGATATTTTATTCTTAATAGAATTCATATTTCAATTCCTAATTGGACTCTCATAATTCTATTCCTATTTAGAATTGTATTTTTTACTAAAGAGTTTTCCTAAAGATATACAATTTTACATGGGAACAAATAGAACGAGCCACAATATCCCAACAGTGAAAACTGGAAAAGAAATATGTAATTGCTGCGAAATGAATGGATAATATGTAATGCACACAATGCTGTTTTAGAGGTTTTTTTTTTTTTTTTTTTTTTATTTTAGAAAATATTTTTAGAAAACAGTTTGGATTTGGGCTTTTCATTAATTTTCTCGTAACTTATTAAGACTAAGGTCCAATTAGAATCCCTCCAAGTGGGTCTTCAAGAAGTACCTTGGTCCTAATAAACCTTATTGGACAACCTATCATTCCACACCATAATAACAATACCCCATGAAATTGCTTGGGCTCAGGGTCTACCAACGGGTTAAGGATATGAGTCCAATATATCTTGTTGGAGTGTGAGATGGTGTTGAAATCGCTTTTAGCCTTTACGGGTTGCCTTGACAAAAGTGGGCATCAACAGCTTCTTTTAAAATATATTAAGTTTCAAACTGATTATAAAATAATCAATTTTATAAAAATATTCTAAAAGCTAAGACGGGTAGCTTTTAAAATTTCTAAAACTGATTTTACATTGTAAAACAACAAATATACTTGCACATAATTCTTTAAATTACAAACTTAACTTAGATAAACATTTTTTTATTTAAATAAATTATTAAAATTACTAATTTATAAAAAATAAAAAATACAATAAACTGGTAACGGCCTATCAACAGTGGTTGACTAGTGGTCAAAGTCGACCAAAGGTGACATGTTGATGCCACCATTGGTTCAAACAAAACCAAAAATTGTCAATCTATAGGAATTTGGTTGAATCATCGGATTTCAACCTCTCATTTGGCCACATAAGGTGTCCAAAGCTTTAGTCATCTTTTACAGCAAAAAATGATACAAAATCTTGTGCTTCCACTAGATTCCTATAGATTGGGATTCTTTGGTCTCGATGGTACTAGTTGTGCCCTCACATGCAACCATTGACCACCGGTCAGCGATGTTTACTTGATAGTTAACTGACGCCAACTAGTCCAATATTTCAAAATTTTCAATTATTAATTATTTAATATAAATTTTAACACAATTTAAATGTTTATTAAATACTTATCAAAACACAAAATTTAAAATTATAATGGCTGTGTTTGGTAGAGTATTAAGAGTATTATTTTTGAAAAAGTTGAATTGGGTTATTATTACGAGAATATGACTTGAATTTGAAAAGGTGTTTGGTAAATTTTTGGAAAACAATTTCTGAAAATATTTAGATTATTTTTTAATCCCCTACATTTGTTAATTTAGCTAAACACCCCTACAATAAAAGTTTTAAAATTAACAAAAACACCCTCACCCCCTATTAAATGCCGACAGCTGGCCGCCACCACTGGACGATGGCTGAAAGTTTTCAGAATGGTGTACGACTAGCTAGATTTAGCCGGTAGTGCACCGATTTGGCATTTTCCTACCAGATCCATGGTGGATCTAGCCAGAAAATGTTAGATCGGCGCACACCGACCACATCAAGTTGGTCATGCACCATTCCGGTAGATTCCAACCACCTTTTGGCAGTGGTGGCCGACTGTCAGGAATATGTGAGTGAGTGGGGATGATTTTGTCAATTTATAAACTTTTATTATTGCAGGTGTTTAGTTAAATTAACAAACCTAGGGAGATGAAAAAATCCAAATATTTTGAGTTGAATTGAATTTTGAGGATATTTTAACAAATATGTGTTTTGGATAGGATAATATTCATAATAATGAAACAAACACAGCCCATAATATCTTAAGAACTGAAATGTCTTTTTTGGTCATTATACATGCAACATTAATTTCAAAATCTAATTTACCAAACACACAATCATAAATTTTGAACATCACAACAATTATAGAAGTAGTATTTACCAAACACATAAAAAATTATTTCTGAAACTAATTATATTCAAAGTTGTGCAAAAATTGATTAATCTTAAAACTACATTAACCCTAAACTAGCCATTGCTCAATTCAAATTGTTATTAAAAAGAAAAATAAACTAATTTTATGAATATTAAAAAAATTTCCCATGAGATAAATAAGGGTAATTCTAATTAAATTATTATTAAAAAAAATTAACTACTTTTTAAAATGGCATACCCATAATAAAATAAAATTTTAGTATAAAATGGAAGTTAAAAAAAATGATGGAAATGATAAAATAGTGAAATGAAATGATGTAAAGGTTAAAATAGACTTTCAAAAATAAATTAATAGGAAAAAGAATTTAGTAAAGGATTCAAAGTTCAAACGGTAAAACAGACCTTTTTATTTAACAATAAGGAAACTAAAATTTAACTGACGGTAGGGGCATCCGATGCTTTTCAAATATTGAGGGTCGTTAAGTTTCTCCAGGGGTTTAATAAATAACCAGTAATAAAAATTCAATATAATACATAATGAAGTAAATATGTAATTAAATGTTAAATACCTTGTAAGCGATTGTAGTCCTACNGTTTTATAAATAGTAAAAAGACACGATATTTACGTGATTTGACATGATTCGTCAACATCCAAAGATGAGAGAAATCTAATATAGTTTTATAAATACAATATACAAGAGTATACAAAACAGAGCAGAAACAATCATAGTTTCTAACCACATTCAACCTAGTATCTAAAGTGGAAACGATCCTAGTTTCTAAGACACTCTCTCTATGGTGTTTAATAACACTTACATCAAATATCATATGTTCTCACATTCTCTCATAACCTTGAATTAGTTTTCACCCCTATATTTGTAAGTAGGATACGAGATATTCTAAATCCAATAGGATTCATATTTCAATTCCTAATAGAACTCCTAAATTCTATTCCTATTTACAAAGAGTAACCATGTCCAATTTTGCTAGCATACAATTGCACAGTAACCATGCCAAATTTTGTCGCCAAGATTTGAGAACCAATCCGCCTACAACTTAAAACCTGTTGTAGCCTGTCTCTTATGTGCATTCACCATCTTGGAAGAACTCATCTCTCAAGTCACAACTTGGAGCTCTGATACTACTTCTTAGGAGATCACATAACGGAAAAAATACATTCTAGATTTATAACGTAGGAATATAATCACATCACATAAAGAGACATGATATTTACGTGGTTTTGTATTACTCACCTACATCTACGAATGAGAGAAATTCACTATAGCTTCATGAACACAATATACAAGAGTACACAACACCATAAACATGGTACATAAAACAGAGCTAAAACAATCATAGTTTCTAAGCACGCTCAACCCAATACCTAGAGTGGAAACGATCCCAATTTCTAATACACTCTCTCTGTGGTATTTAATAAACTTTACATCAAATACCTTGTGTTCTCACATTCTCTCATTCTCTCATAACCTTGAATTGGTTCTCACCCCTATATTTGTAGATAGGATACGAGATATTCTAATTCCAATAGGATTCATATTTTAATTACTAATAAGACTCCTAAATTCTATTCCTATTTACAATGAGTAATCATGTCCAATTTTGCTAGCATACAATTGCACAGTAACCATGCCAAATTTTGTCACCAAGATTTGAGAACCAATCCACCTATAACTTAAAACCTGTTGTAGTCTGTCTCTTATGTGCATTTGAGATTAACAATGTAGGAATATAATCACACCACATAAAGAAACACGATATTTATGTGGTTTGATATGATCCGTCTACATCCACAGATGAGAGAAATCTATTATAGTTTTATAAATACAATATACAAGAGTACACAACACCATAAACCTGGTACACAAAACAGAGTAGAAACAATCATAGTTTCTAACCACGTTCAACCTAGTATCTAGAGTAGAAACGATCTCAGTTTCTAGACACCCTCCCCATGGTGTTTAATAACACTTACATCAAATATCTTATGTTCTCACATTCTCTCATTCTCTCATAACCTTGAATTGGTTCTCACCCCTATATTTGTAGGTAGGATACGAGATATTCTAATTCCAATATGATTCATATTTTAATTCCTAATAGGGCTCCTAAATTCTATTCCTATTTACTAAGAGTAACCATGTCCAATTTTGCTAGCATACAATTGCATAGTAACCATGCCAAATTTTGTCGTCAAGATTTGAGAACCAATCTGCCTATAACTTAAAACCTGTTGTAGTTTGTCTCTTATGTGCATTCACTATCTTGAAAGAACTCATCTCCTAGGTCGCAACTTGGCGCTCTGATACAACTTGTTAGGAGATCGCACAACGGAAAAAAGACATTCAAGATTAATAACGTAGGAATACAATCACACCACATAAAAAGACACGATATTTACGTGATTCGGCATGACCCGCCTACATCCACGAATAAGAGAAATCCACTATAGTTTGTTTCATGAACACAATATATAAGAATACACAACACCATAAACCTAGTACATAAAGCAGAGCAAAAACAATCATGGTTTCTAAGCACGCTTAACCCAATACCTAGAGTGGAAACGGTCCCAATTTCTAAGACACTCTCCCCATGGTGTTTAATAACCCTTACATCAAATATCTTGTATTCTCTCATTTTCTCATTTTCTCATAACCTTGAATTAGTTCTCACCCTTATATTTATAGGTAGGATACGGGATATTCTAATTCCAATAGGATTTATATTTCAATTTTTAATAGGACTCTTAAATTCTATTCTTATTTACAATTGTATTCTTTATTAAATAATTTTTCTAAAGACATACAATTTCACGTATGAACAAATAGGAAAACGAGCCACAATATCTCAATACTTGTAATAGAGCCGATCACGTAATTTAATGGTCTCACAAAAAAAGGAAAAAGAAGACCAAGGCAGTTGAAGTGTCAAATGGATGTATCACCATTCACTTTCGATTGATTTTTTGTATTAAATATTTTTCTTAAAAGTGGTGTTTTATTCTCTTTCCCATTTCAAATACTATGCTGCAGGTAGAGGTAATTGAACCTGCTGTAAAGGGTACACTCAATGTGCTGAAAGCATCTGTTGAGGCAAAAATTAAGAGATTTGTTTTTGTGTCTTCTGGAGCTGCTGTTGGCTTGAACCCCAGTTGGCCGAAGGATCGAGTGATGGATGAGACTTGTTGGTCTGATAAGGAATATTGCAGAACAACTAAGGTAGCACCTGTTGAATTTACCAGTACATCAAATTCAGATGAATTGCTCCTTATTCTTTATTTTTCTATTGCTGACAATTTTGAGATGTAATTAGAGCAGAAAATGTTTTGTTTAGTAGTATACAGTGAATGTTGAGTTCTTTTATGTTCTTACCAGAACTGGTATTGTCTTTCCAAAACGGAAGCTGAAAGTGAGGCTCTGGAGTTTGGAAAAAGAACTGGGCTTGATGTTGTGAGCGTTTGTCCCACCCTTATTCTCGGGCCACTTTTGCAATCCACATTGAACTCAAGTAGCCTAGTACTTGTTAAACTTTTGAAAGGTACCTACTTGTACTGTGCCTACCTTGGATTATTTGTTATAAATGTATGATTTGGATCATGCTCCTATCAGTAACAAGGTTGTTTTATTTGCATGTTTGTGATCATAAATGAGTTCTTTGTGTCTGTGTGGTTACTGATTTTTCCTCTGAAACATGATTCCTTGCATGTTTCATTTGAGATTTAGTCTTCTCATTAAATTGGTATTCTCGCGATCTGGCTGTACAGAAGGTTACGAGACAGTGGAAAACAAGCTGCGGATGATAGTTGATGTGCGGGATGTTGCTGAAGCCTTGCTTTTGGCATATGAAAAGCCTGAGGTAGAAGGGAGATATATATGCACAGCATACATTATCAGAGCTCAGGAATTTGTTGATAAAGTGAAGAGCATATATCCTAACTACAAATATCCTCAAAAGTGAGTGTCATTTTGATGAATATATACTCAACAAGCTTGACTTATAATTACTTTTATATGATTTGTTCACAACATCACTTTTGCATTGGCAGCTTCACCGAGCCAGGGGAGGAAAGAGTGCTAACTTCAGAAAAGTTGCAGAAGCTGGGTTGGAGTTACCGGCCATTGGAGGAGACTTTCGTTGATTCCGTTGAGAGCTACCAGAAAGCTGGGATCTTAAATTAAGAAAGTTGACATTTTAATATATGCGTCCACTTCTATCTACGTAGAAGGAGGATATGTTTGGTGTAATAATAATGCTTTCAAGGTTAATAACAATGTTCCGAAAACCGGACCGGACTATGACCCATTCAAGGGTCCGGTTTCCGGTTTGACCGGTTCTTATAAAGTTACATTTTAGTCCCTAAATGTTTGAAATTCATCAAAAACCCCTATAATACTCCCTTAAGGTTTGAAATCTGTCTAAAACACCCCTATCACACGAAGAGACTGGTGAGTGGTGGCAGCAGTGATGATCGACGGCCAATCGAAGTTTGGAATCATAGGGCTTTTGATGTATAGGTTCCGGCGAATCTGATGGTGATGTTAGGGAGTTCCATCAGCGCCGGAAATTGCTGGAATCAAGAAGGAAGTCCAACGGTCACGTGAATTTTAGGTGGAAGGCGAGCGACGAAGGTGGGACGACAGCCACTGAAAATGGATGGGTTTTGTCGTGGAGATGCCGTCAAGTTGAATGGTGGTATTTTCTCCGTCGAATGATGCCGGGATCCAGCGGGATTGAGTTGCGATTGGACCGTGACTCGACACTATTCTGACAGTCCAACCGCGGCTCAATCAGATTTAACTGAAAATACCGATTTTTAGAAGATACTGGACTGGAGATACCGCTGGCTGCCGGTCGAACTGGTCCGATCGGACGGTCCGGTCTGGTTTTCAGAACATTGGTTAATAAATATTTGAGAATGGGTTTTTTTCAGCACTAGCAAAATAAAAAATCTTACTGAAATGATTGTAAACCTCCATTAACCAGTTTCAAGGTGTAAAGATCAAAATAGTCAGTGGACAACAAAATTTTGAAGATGAACACAAGAAAGTAAAACAATCCAACTATTGTTTTTGCGTTTGGAGCCTCGGCATATCGACGAAGATACACCATAATTATGCCTCTTGCACTCATTTTGGACCCATCTTTTCTGTGTTCTTTTGTGTCTCAGAGTCAATTGATAAATTAAGTACACTTGAAGAATCTAGATGACATCCAGGGGTTTTTTATGCCAACAACCAGAATAATAGTGCATAGAAACAACAAAGCTATGATTTCAGAATCTGTAAGGTAAGATAGGATATAGAAAAAAATCTTACACAAATGAAATGATCATTTACCTAAAAAGTTAACCAGATTCAACTTTTAAACATCGAAATAGTCAATGGAAGATTACAGTTTTGAAGATAACAGAAGAAACTAGAAAGTGAAACAATCCCTCTTGTTTTTATTTTTGGAATCCGGCCAATGGTTCTTGATTGGCCTTGGCATGTTGATGAATGATGAAGAGACACCATATATACCGGCTGTTAGAGCTCTACCTCTACCTTTTGCACTCATTTTGAAGTTCCCTCCCTGATTCTGTGCCTTTTTAAAATTAAAATTAGTTAGGGAAGAACACTTGTATAAGCTTGTTGATTTGTGTAATTGAAATCGTATATAGCGAGTTTAACTTTGCATTATATATTATGCTTTATTCAGTTGCTTTCTAATAGATTCACATAAAGAGCGAGAATTAGTGGTTGTTTTACTCATCATTCAGAAAAATTGCAAAAGCAAGGCTGGAATTTTAAATTATTAAAAAAACAAAACAGAAATAGACATTTGGGTTTATCTTTGCGACTTTGTAACCATTAATCAAATGTCGGAATATTACTATATAAGCATATTCTTGAGTATGTTATTGGTAACAGAAATGAATCTAACATGATCTCTCAAGTTCGAGTTCCTTTGAAGGTAAAAGAGCAAGAGGAGAATCTAATATGATCTCTCGAGTTTGAATCTCCATAGTTGCTAATAGGGATGACACTGGAGGTTGTACTTGACCAGTAATTTTAGGATATTAAGGGATTAGTTAAGGTATGTGTAAGCTGATCCGAATACCCTAGGTCATATAAAAAAAAATGTTATTGCTTAGGAATGCTTAATAATCGAACCCATTTGTACATCATTTGAATATATTGATATAAGTCAAAATAATATCTTCTTTCTTATTTCCTGCTGGACTTTGATCCCTCAATGATTGACATTCACCTAACTCAGCAAACATAAACTGCCAACTATGCCTTCATCTTACAGCTTTTTTCTTGTTGGATAAAGAGAGATTTTTCAACTGCATATTTGTCAAAAGATACTTGGCTTAATGAAAAGTATTACAGGCAATCCCTATTGTTTAATCCATTAATACCTATTGGTTAATGGTCTCACTTTCAGCATCCTTTGTGATAATCGAGGTGGTTAAAAAATCAAGAATCATGTCTATGCTTCAATTAAGGTGAAAATTGCGTTCTTATCAAAAAGCAGCCAATAAAACCAGATCACAGAAGGCCTTTCAATATTGAGAATATTGTCCATGTCCTTGCTCTAATATGGTTTAAATTTCTTTCAAGCGAATAATAATTCTTTAAAGTTTAAACGGCTCGAGTAGAAATGGGTGTATATCAAAATTCGAAATTGGGATACAGCCAAGGACGAGAACCAAAACGCAGATATTGACTTGTCAGGTTTGTTTTGTCTTGACAAATAAAGCGGTTGATGCTGGGTCGGCATTTTAATATTGTTATTCATCTGGAGTATTCTGCCGTTTTAACAAAACTGGATTGAGAGAAGAGAAAAATATTAAGTAAAACTGAAGTCGGAGAGGGTGAGTGAGATGACGACGAGAGCAGTTGAAGAGAAAGAGAGAGTGTGTGTGACTGGAGCAGGAGGTTATGTAGCTTCATGGCTGGTCAAATTTCTCCTTTTGAAGGGATACATGGTCCATGGAACAGTTAGAGACCCAAGTAATCTTCTTCTTTCTTTATAATATCATCTTAATACTAAAAGCACTGAAGATTTGTGTCAGCTATATTATATATTAAACTACTGAGGCCTTTATGTACTCATATGGATCATGATGAAAGTTGATAATTATATATACAGGTGACGAGAAGAACGCTCATCTGAAGAAATTGGAAAACGCTTCAGAGAATTTGCAACTCTTCAAGGCAAATTTATTGGACTATGAAGGTCTTTGTGCTGCCATTGCGGGCTGCACTGGGGTTTTCCATGTTGCTTGCCCTATTCCTGTAGGAAGTGTTCCAAATCCTGAGGCAAGATTTCAAGTTACTTTTCAGTTTGTTTCTACGTGAACTATGAGCAGCTTGCTTTTTATGATATCATCTGTGGTTTTCCATTAAGAAAAGGTTTTGCAGGTAGATTTGATTGAACCAGCTGTGGTTGGTACACGGAATGTACTTGATGCTTGTTTGAAGGCAAAAGCCAAAAAGGTTGTGGTTGTTTCATCTATAGCTGCTGTTGGACTAAACCCAACTTGGCCAAAGAATCAGGTCATGGATGAGAATTGCTGGTCTGACAAGGAAGCTTGCAAGGCAACTAAGGTATCGAACTAATAATAAAATTTTACACATGTTTTATAAGTAGACTAGGAGAAACATTACGATACTATCACCAATGGTTCCACGATACTTTAGATGTTATGGCTTTTCTGCTTAATAGGCTTCAATAGCAAGGATTACAGAGGTTGAAGTATTTCATATTTCACGACTCCAACAGATCATCATACTAGAGTTCTCAGTTCCTTTTTTTAAGGGTTTAGATAAGAATTAAACTCCTTGTTCTTATGAATGCCAGAACTTTTATAGCCTTGCCAAAACAATGGCAGAGACTGAAGCTTTGGAGTATGCAGAGAAGGGTGAACTTGACATTGTGACAGTTTGTCCATCAATTGTGATTGGGCCAATGCTGCAACCCACAATCAATGCCAGTAGCTTACTGCTCCTAGCTCTTTTGACAGGTTTCTTCTTCCTCTCATTACTTCAATACATATTGTTAACTGGTTATTTATTTATTTATACTGTCACAGCTTATCTTGTATACTTCAATACTAATCGCCATAAATGACATGAAAATCAGATGGACATAAAACGGTGGAAGACACAGATCGACCCCTCGTAGATGTACGCGATGTGGCGGAGGCGCTTTTGCTGGTTTATGAGAAGCCTGAAGCAAAAGGAAGATATATATGTACTTCGTATCAAATCAAAATGCAGGCACTGGTGCACAAGTTGAAGAGCATTTTTCCAAACTATAGTTACTCTAAAAGGTAATTCCTGAATGTCACACATGATTTAAATTCAAAAAATGAGGCACTTTCACTTATTTTGTTATTGATTCAATGAACGTCATTACAGTTTCACTGAGGATGACTATGAAGCAAATCTGAGTTCAGAGAGATTGCAGAAGCTGGGATGGAAGTACCGGCCACTAGAAGAAATCCTTAGAGACGCTGTCATGAATTATGAAGAGAAGGGCATCCTCCATAAAGCTTAGAACAGCTGGTTTTACTGATAAACCATATTCATGTCATTTCATGGTTGAGAAATCAATGTTGCTATCTTCTGTTCTCTTTAAATGCAGTTTGAAATAAATTTCGACTTACACCATCATTTTTTCAGATATACTAACAACTAACTACTGGTATGATCATAATTGAAGTAACAGTTGATTTCAATATGCTATACTGAAGTCAAATAATTCATTTATTTGTATTTTTAAGTCTATAAACAGAGAATCATGCACATAATAGAAACATAAATTTTTTATAGGTATATATTATATAAATATTACATACTCATAAGGTCTACGTTCAATTTAAATGAATCAATATCATTTTTCACAACAACATTTAGGATACTTTCAATGGCAACTCCGTGGCTTCCATTTACTTATAGACCGAGGCCTGATAGCTTGGAACCTTAAATATGTATGCTTCTAAGAAGAAATTGATCCAAAGATGGTATTTTAGAAGAGACAAGACATGTTACTCCTTGTGGGAATCATCTTCATCTTGGTTGTTTGAGATAATTAATGACAATGTCTGTAACCCCTATGTCTCTGTGTCAGCTAGCATAAGGTTTTCGTTACAACCTTTTCAAGTTTGTAAACATCTGGAAGAATATAATTTTCCATTATAAATCCAAGCATAAATGACAAAGGATCCTATATTATAAACCTTATAATTAAGTCTTTGGTAATAGAGTGGACGACAGAAATATACTTCAAAATGAATGATCAGACTTCCTGTCTTCCTTCTAGTGACTAAAATTATATGAAAGTCTCGGGCTACCAGTTGTCACTGGCCGGGAGTTTTACACCCAAAAGGCCAACTTATTAGGTGGAGGGACTCCTCCCATTTATAAACCCAAGACCTCCCCAATACGTTTCTGATGTAGGATTCGTTACATTCTTCCCCACCCAATCCTGTGACACCCTTGTCATAGGTGGGCGCCCTGCCTACCCGTCCATCTCACTCTTTGTGGACCTACAATCACACGTGAATGCCCCCTGCGTGAGCGCTTGACGGGACATCGAAAGACGGATCGGGTCTGCTCTGATACCATTTGTTACGGATTGAGAGTTTCACACCCAAAATGCTAACCTATTAGGTGGATGGACTCCTCTCATTTATAAACCCATGACCTCCCCAATACGCTTTCGATGTGGGATTCGTTACACAGTGCAGGTACAACTCATCCAACCATCTGTTAATGGCACCAAGAATGTTCTAAACGCATGTGTGAAAGCCGAAGGGAAGAAGGTTGTGGTTGTGTCATCTGTTGGGGCCGTTGGGCCAAACCCAAATTGGCCCAAGGATAAGCCCATGGACGAGGAATGCTGCACTGACTTAGAATTTTGGAAGGCAACGTAGGTGTCTGACTAACGAAATTAATTTAGAACCGCTATTTAGTTATATTAATAAAAGTTGTTTCTTTCTTTATTGTTTCACTGTTGGCTAACCTGTCAATATGAACATCAGCAATGGTATTGCTTTGGCAAAACAATGGCAGAAAGTGAAGCTTTGAATTATGCCAAGAGAGGTGAACTCAACTCAACATAGTGACAGTTTGTCCATCCATAGTTATTGGGCCATTGCTGCAATCCACCATGAACAACAGCAGCTTATACCTCCTGAAGTTTTAGAGAGGTTTCTCTATTCCTTTTCATTCAGTTTTACCGTATTAGACCATACAAATTTTCAATAATTAACAACGCTGTGATCAACAATCATATCATGTTGGGGTGCACGAATTTGGACTACAGTTTTGGGCATATGCTGAACCTTAACGGAAATAAAACAAAAATGTATGATTGTTACTAGGATGTGAGGCAGGTTATTACTGGTGGATGTCATAATTTTACCAAGAAATATTCAAGCTAAGAACAAGACTTCAATGTCGCTAATTATGAGTAACGTTACACTCATAACATTTTCTCACAAGCAACTCCAATGTGACAGCTAAGTTGGCGTTGTCACGTCAGTTCCACCACATCTAAGATACAAAATGATTTTGACTATACCAAAGAAACGGTTGTTTCTCACAGAAGGAATAATTGTTCATAATAAGAAACAATTATTCCTTATGAAGGAATGACCGTTTGTTTCTAGTAGTGTCTTGGATGAAGTAGGAGCTAACGTGACAGTGCTAATTTGCTGTCATGTTAGGGTTGTACGAAAAAGTTATGAGACTGGATTGCAAACAAAACATTTTTGTTAAATTAAAAAGTGATCTTTGCTCATTGATTTTACTTTTGAAAACTAGTATTATGGAAAGCAGATGGATTCGAATCAGCAGATAGTGTAGGTCGGTTCGTGATGTGGCCGATGCAATCTTGCTGGTATATAAGAAGACAGAGGCAGAGGGGAGATATCTATGTTCATCATATGACATTAGAATCAAAGATTTGGTCGAAAAGTTGAAAAGTTTTTATCCTAATTACAATTACCCCAGAAGGTAAAATAAGTTGCATTTTACAGTATCAGTAGAGTAGGAGTTTTAGGTCAATTATTAAATTCTCCTAGCTGGATTTTCCATTTTTGCTCTGTTTCCCACCAGAATCTTTTTTTTTTTTTTGTTTTTTGTCATTTCTGGTATGTTCTTTTTCTTGACAGTTTTAATGAACTGGAGGAAGATAGTAAATTCAGATAAATTGTAGAATTTAGGATGGAAGTATAGGCTACTGGAGGAGACAGTGGGTTGATGCTGTGAAGAACAATGAAGAAAGTGGTGGCTTGGTAAGATAATCTGTAGCTTCCAGGTTCAGTTGGGCAGTGAAGTTCTAAAATCAAAGTACCTATTTACAGTGTTCTTTTTCGCCTTGTTAAGCATCTTGTACGGTAATATTCCCTTACAGAGAATTGATGAATAAACTAAATTTGTAATTTTGTCCTTCACCCCGGATTCAATCTAATAAGTTTACTTGATCAGAAAGATATCTCCCAAGAAACAACCAAACTTAGCCTGTAAGAAATTGTAGTTTCGTCGAAGCACTGTAATTAGAGGTTGAGGTTTTATGAAACAGTTTTAAGGGATTAAAAAACTGTTTTCCGACAACAAATCTTTGTTTTCGAGTGTTACAAAGAAAATAGTAGTACGAAAGAGACAGAAACATGCTTTGTTTTGTTCGAAGAAGGCTCAGAATTACTTGTGTTTTTCAATTCAATTCTCTACTAGAAACCACTGGTGAAGTGGTCCCTTAAGAATTAAGTTTACGATGCAACAGTAGCCCAAAACTGGTGTCTTGGACCCATCAGACCCAAACCCCTAGCCACTGGTTAAATATCCTGAAAGGTTTTTCCAGATAAAATAAGAGAAAGTAAAGATGAAACTTGTCAAAATTAGAATGGTGTTTCACACTACTTCTGATATGCCTTTGACTCTTGCGTATTCTGGGCCAACATGATTTTTGGTATTCTGAAGCTTACAATGAGGGAGCGCTTTTGGGATAAATTCTCTGGAAATAGGTTACGAGCATACCTACCATTTTAATGAAAGAAAATAATGATGCATTGTCACAGCCAGCAATAGCATCATCCATTATGAGGGTCCCTTTCTTGACTT